GAGCAATATGTCCTCTGCACACTTGTCTAATAATAATAATAATAATAATAATAATAATAATAATAATTAAGGGTTTATTGAAAGAGCTTGGCAGCCAGAAGGCTGAAAATATACAGTTACATATTTGGGGAATGGGTTTCTAATTACAAATAATATACAAGTAACATAAGTGATACAAATAAGATATATAATAACTAGATGGGGAAAAGCTCAAACTACAGTGCATTTCCACATAGTGACAGTGCAAGAAGTAGTATTTACTGGGAGTGAATACACTGGTTTATTACAAGTTATTGATAATTTTTACAATGGTTGGGACTGGGCTGTTCTTATAGCGATCAGTTCGTGCACGTATGGGCTGGATGCGGTTGTGGTGACGAACAGCAATTCTCGGGCTAGGGATCTCAGGTGGTAGTAGGAGCCGGTGTCGAGGATGGTGTAGAAGCTTCTTACCAAATTTGCAGATGAGGTCGTGGTGATGGTCAATGAGAGTCGAAAGGGTCAGTGTGTTGAGCGCTTCTTGATATGTGGAGTAGGAAGGGGAGAGAATAATCTTGCATGCCCTCTTTTGCACTTTTTCTAGGTGTTTACGTTGTGTGGCATTTAGGGAGGAAGACCAGGTAGGGGAGGCATAGGTGAGCTTGGGAATTATGAATGTTGAGTAAACACTGAGGAGCTCGGGTGCAGGAACTCCGAGGGACTTGAGTCGGCGGAGGAGGTGGAGACGGAAACTGGAGGATTTGACAACTTCACTGACGCGTGGTTTCCAATTTAGTTTGTTGTCTATGGTGACGCCGAGGAGCTTCGTGGAATCTACAACCTGGAGTGTGTTCGGACCTAAAGTAATGGAAGGAGGTGGGACAATGTCGGAGGAGAGGTTGATGTGCATAACCATGGTCTTGGTATGGTTGATGGTGACATGGTTGTTGGAGGCCCGTTGCTCTCTGTGAATGAGCGAGGCGGTATGCAGGTATGTAGATGGGATTAGTGCCGGGTTGCACGTTAATGTGGTGTTGAACAAGGTGGGTCAGTCCCAGAGGTTCTCCCTTAAGTGCTATGGCTAACCTGTATTTGTTGAGCAAGTCTAACAGTATAGGTAAGGCCTTGGTGAATCCTGTAAGAGGACTGTAGCTAGCGTCAATTAAACGACGTGTCCTGGGTGACGTTCCAGAGCGTCCACCTATTCCCGCCACTGTTTAAATGCCCAGCACAGGTTAGCAGGTTCCAGTGTGACTATTGCCTGTCACACCACACGCTTAGCCACAGGGAAGCTTCCTGAACATAATTACCTACTTTTGTTTGTTTCATTTTCATTGTTTGTATATTTTATCATGTTGTATCAAAGTAATATTGCTAAAAGTAGTGTAATTTTATTGTAGGGTAGTATTACTGTAAAACAAGGCTATGATTGTGTTATAAATGTATTTATTTGTGGAATTATTATTAATTTATGCATTACTTGCTCTACTAAACACAATCACAGCCAGGCAGACTGGCGACCGACTGTGAGTGTTGCCAAGCACTTTTAAGAAAAATAATGCAAATAAAATATTCTAAATTAATTATTTGTTGCAACTAAGTACTAAAATCAGTAAATATATACATTATTGGCCACCTCGGACACAAAGGCGAGCAAAAATTGCTGCTAAGTGCGGAGGGACCAAGAGTGTCAGCTGTCAAACCAACACCGTCTCCTTATCTCCCACTACCCCCCTCCCCCCTCCCTCCGGGCAGCCAGGGAAGTTTCTAGAAGGTCAATATATAGTTTTTCTTACTTATTTTTATTTTATTATCATTTTGAAAGGTTAAAAATTATTTTTGGAAAACTTGATTTTTTTCGATTTACCCCTGGGAGGGGGGTACTGCCACGAGCACCATAACCCAGGACTTAAGGGTTAAGAACAGAGAATGCAACAACCTTTGTACCACGCCTAAGACGTTGATGGAAAATGAATCTACTGGCCAGGTAGAGTTTCACCATTCCATAATGACTCTGGTGGAACGAACAGTCTATGTTAATCCCTCTCGCCTGCACTGTGGACGGCTCGGCGAGACAGTGAATCTTAAATCTAGGATTAGTATGATCGAGACCCCATTGTTCTAACCAGTTAGTATCTAACTTGAGGGAAGCTGCAGTTAACTGATCAGGATACAGATGTACATCATGTGTTAGATTCCCTACGATACGATACGAAGTCTTTAGTTAGGAGGTGAAAGAAGATTATTAGGGGTTGAAGGAAAAGTGGTGAAACTGAAATACAGTAGGAGTAGAAAGAATCTGGGCTCAACCAGATCGCTTCATCTTTCTTATTGGTATTTTGTCTTTGTTCTGCTCCCTTGGGTCGTCAGACCTTTGTATTAATATTGGTTTATTTATATAATGCTGCTTATTATTATTATTTTTATTATTGTTGGAGTTAGTGAGCCCGCCCAGGTCCTTGTGTAACTGGGAGGGTAGTCACATTTTTTTTTTTTTTGTGTTAGTTAAGTGTTAGTTGTGTTAGTCTAAGGGTACACACTGTATGGAGAGGCCTGCCAGGTTCTTAGTGGAGCTGGTTGGTCACTCTCATCTTTATTCCTCTAGTAATGTTTTATGTAGAAATGTGTATATTGAGGCAGGAGGTGGTTCAATTACTTCTTCCTGGCTGATATAGCTGGGAGGGTAATCACATTATTATTATTAATATTATTATTATTATTTATTTTTTTTTTTTTTTTTTTTTTTTTTTTTTGTTTTTTTTTTTTTTTTTTTTTTTTTTTTACTAAGATGTTAGTTCAATGTTAAATGTTAAATGTTAAATGTTAAATATTAGTTATGTTAGTCTAAAGGTACACTGTATGGAGAGGCCTGCCAGGTTCTTGTGGAGCTGGTAGGTCACTCTCATCTTTTATTCTCTCTATTAATGTTTTATATGTATATTGGGGCAGGAGATGGTTCAATTACTTTCTTCCTGGCTGATTTAAACCAACTGTGTTCTTGGAATTCTTCGTTGTCTATATTATTTATCCAGTTTTGATATGTTTCTGTGTTAAGTTCAGTCACTTTTTTCCAAATATTTACAGCTTTGTTGTGTATATCTACATTGATTGCTAAGAGGTTTGCTCTCTTGTGTAGCTGTTCATTATTGATGTGGTCTGTATATTTTATGTTATATATAAATCTGAGGGCTATATTTTGTACTGTTTGTAACCTTTTAATGCACGTTTTACTAAGGGTGTTCAATGGGATGGGTGGGTAGTCCATAATTGATTTGACAAGGGCAATATAAATCTTTCTTTTGTTATTAATGCTAAGGTTCTTAAAGCGTTTTATTTTTGATAATCTTATTCTTGCCTGTCGTTCTTTATCTTTTAAGTATGTTATATATCCTCTTTTTGTTAGTTTTAATCCAAGCATCCTGCCTTCAGTGTCGTATGGGTATAGTTCCTGGTCGACTATTACTGGACTTGTTTTAATCTTGGCTATTGGTATTATCTTGAATTTGTTCTTATTTGTCCTGATTTTCCATTTTTTCTCAAAATCATTTATGTTTTTTATCGCTCTTACCGTGTAGAGTGCCATAAATTGAGTTGATTTTCCTGGGTATGATACTATTTGAGTAATATCATCAGCAAACATTACATATTCGCTAAAGGGGGTAGGTTGAGGTGTGTCTGAAGTATAAATTGTATATAGTGTTGGAGAAAGGCATCCTCCTTGAGGTACTCCACTCTCAAGATTAAACATAGTTCCCATAAAGTTTCCAATTTGAATTTGTGCTCTCCTATCATCTAAATAGTTACACAATATTCTTAGCAAGTATTCGTTAAGTCCCAGTTTTAATATTTTATATTTCAAGCCTAAATGCCAAACTTTATCAAAAGCCTTAGAAACATCCCTTAAAATTATATTGATCTGGTTACCCTTGCTTTTTTCTATTGCAATTATTTCCGTTATTGTAGCTATTGCAGTTAGGGTATTTCTATTGGGCATAAATCCATGTTGTCTGTTGTTAGTTTTCCCATGTTGTGTTAAAAAGGCTATAAGTCTTGAATTTAATATTTTTTCCAATAGTTTCCCGGTAATTTCTAATAAAGATATTGGCCTGTAGTTTAATATTTCCTTATTGTCCTTACCCTCCTTAGGAATAAATATCATTTTAGCATATTTTAGTTTGTCTGGAAAGTAACCAGTTATTAAGCATGCGTTATAAATGTTTAATAGTGTATTTAAAATGTTTTCAGGTAGATTCATGATCATATTTCGTGTAATACCTGTGAGCCCAGGGGCTTTTTCCTTAAATTTCCTCAGACAGTGCATCATTTCTCCCATGGTTATTATTTGATTATTAGGTAATAAGTTATAGTCTATATATTGCCTTGGGGTGATTCTATGTATTTGTCTTCCCATTTCTTCTTCTATCCTTTCTTCGTGTTCACTATCAAAATCTTCATTTTCCTCATCTGATATTTTAAAAACTTTTACCCATTCCCTTTTGAATGCTGACTCTTGTTCATTTTCCTCGTGCAATTTTGTTCCATTTTGGTCTTTAATGTATGGTGTTTTTTGCTTGTTGTGCCCCATCATCTTGTTTATGGAAGTCCAAAATGTTTTTGTGTCTTTAGTCATGTCAGCCGCCATTATAATATCATTCCATTTTTTATTGTTTGCTTCCTTACATGCGTCTCTTAATTTTATCTGTAGTGCTATCTGTGTCGTATATAGCCATCTGTTACTGCCGTGTCTTTCCATATACCTGTTTATTTCATTGTAATAGGTCTGGATTAATTTAACTTCTTCTGGTAGTCTGTTGTTGGGTAATGTTCTAAAGTGTGAAGTAGGAGTGTGTTTGGTTATAGATGTTTTTATTGCTGAGTGCAGTCTGTCCATTTCTGAGTCTATGTCTTCTGTTGTTTTCCCTTGTAGGTTAATCGAGTGGTGATTACCTAAGTCGTCTTTGAAGCTGTCCCAGTCTGTTTTACTCATTTTCAGTCTCTTTTTTATTGGTATCTGTATGGGGCTTGTTGACAGTGTTAGTATAATTGGCAGATGGTCACTGCCTGTAAGAGGTCCCTGTATTATATGGTAATTGAAAAAGGCTTTGTTGTTGGTAAAAATTTTGTCTGGTGTCGATTGTGTATTGTGATTTCTCCAGGTTGGAAAGTTAGGACCTAGATGATTGATTTTCCCTAGGTTTATTAATTGATTAAGGGCGTTTCCCACGGCGTTATTATTTGTATTGTCAAAAATCCTATGTCTGGCGTTAAAGTCTCCTAAGATGTACATCGGATGACTATTGTTAGCCAATTTTAATAGGTCTTCTATAGGTAAGTAGGGTCGTCTCGGTGGCAGATAAGTAGTAGCAATAATTACGTCTCCTTGAGTTGTATTTATTTTTATTGCTAGAAATTCATCCTGGAAGTCATCGATTAGTTTAAATTTTAAGTTTCTTTTAACCGCTATAGCTACTCCGTCATTTTTCTCGCCCGATTTATTTCTTTGGTTTACATAATAGTTAAAGAGTTTTATGTTGTTGTTTTCTGTCTCACCGTGACTGTTTATTAGTATAATGTCAGGGTCAATTTCTTGATATATATTACTTAGGTTAATTCTCTCGGTCTTCCAGTTTCTTACGTTGTGTTGTATTATTCTTAAAGTTCTTACTGTTTGTCTATTGTCCATTATTTCTTATACTTGGATTGTGACTGTTGGAGTGGAGACCTATCGTCCTGTTTCCCGCTTCTGACTCTTCTAAACTCTGACGGGTCTACTATTTTAAAGTCATTGGTCGTAATCTTTAGTTTGTCCGTAGTAATTAGTGACCAGACATAATCTTCACTTAGGGATTTTTCTTGATATGTCCACTTGTATATCCCTCCTTCACAGTTTTTTACTATTGTCCCTCCTGTTGGTCTCGATGTTGGGATTCCATGTTTTGTTGTAGTGATAACTTTTAATCCAATATCTTCAGCAGATTCAGGTTGTATATTGTGTTCAGTTTCCATCTTATCTTCTCTCCTCCTACTCCTTTGTCTTATAGTCTGTCCTTTTGTTATTTCTATCTTCTCTTTGTCACTTCTAGTCATTTGTCTGGGATCTCTATCAGTCGCTTGTGTTCCTTGTGTATCAGCTGTTGCTCCTTGCTCAAACCTTTGTTTGTCTAGCTGTAGTCTTTCTCTCAGTTCGCTTGCATATGTTGCCTGAAATAGTTTTTCGGATTGTGGATTCTCTGGAAATATCATCTCTGGTAGGCTATTCAATTTAAACATTTTCCTTAATTCCTCATTGTATGATCCGGGTGCAATGATATTGTGCAAATGTGCATGGATCATACTAATCATTACCTTATCATGTATTGGCTCACTTAGGTTTAATATGGTGGATTCTGGTCTATGAGCCTCTTGGACCGCTCTCTTGGCTATTTCGACGTATGTCGTATCCTTCTTGTCTTGTTCCTTTTTCCTTGTTTCTTGTTCCTTGTACTTTATCATGTGTTTTTTTATTGGGCATGCCATTGCTAACGTCCTATGTCCTATGTATGCATTCCCGTTTCTCTTACAGTTGAGACAGCCAACATGTGTATTCTTACATTCAGTGTAGGTATGGTCGTCGCCTGCACAATCTGAGCAGTACTTTTTTTCTTTTTCCGGACAGTCTCTCGTTGTGTGTTCTTCATATTTGTAGCAGGAGAAGCAAGTTTGCAGACTGATGAATGTCTCCTTCTTTATTTGATGTGGTGTGACTGACATGTTGAATATTAGAAAGCCCTGTTGTAAAACTTTCTCAGCCATTGACACTTCTTCAAAAGTAATCTTAAAAACATGAGTATAGTCTTTTATCTTAATGACTTCTTCAATCTTCATCCACCTGTTTTGGCGTTCCAGTTCATCTTTCAGGTCTTCAGATGTCTTCCTCCCGATCTCTTGGTCGACTTGACGAACGAAAACTGATCTTTTTGCTTTTGTTCTGGTGGCATGACAACAACAAGGCCTTCATTGTAAAATATATCTCTGGCTTCTTTTGAAAGGATTTTATCTGAATCAAAGTCATCTTTACAGATTACTTTAAAACCTTCATTGGTGCTGAATATTCTTGTTAATGGGACTTGCAATTTGTTGTAAGTGATTTCTGCCACTTTTCCCTTTCCAATAGAGTGTCCCTTATCTCTATGTTTTATTCTAATGCTTGTTGTCATCTTCTTGATTACATCTAATCCTACCTATAACACAGGGCTCCTGCCTGGGAGCAGTGACCCCGCCCCCCCCTCTTGGACGGGCGTCGGGCTCGTAGGGTTCTGCACCCAGGTTACCTGTGACTATAGTTATGTCTAAGAAAGTTGCCACCTACCGGTGACCCCCGGACAAGGGGTGCCCTGCACTATCACAGGTTCCCTTGCCGGATCGACCGTATCGCTAAGTCCCGCCTCCCGTTCAAAGAACGGAGTGCATGAGGGGGATGAAAAAAGGAAAGAAGAGGACTTAGAGAGTAGAAACAGCCTACCTACCACGCCACGTTCGGTTAGCCAATCAGAGCACCGCAGTAAACGTGCATGTATCACGCCACCGTGGGGCACCACTGATTGGCCAATCCAGGACGTAGACGCACGGGTAGTAGTCAAAATTTGGGGAGCCCAAATATTTGTTTTCCAGAAGTTGGAATTTTCCGTACAATCTGTGATGATAATTGCACCGTCACTATGTTGAGTAAGTGCAATCACTAGGATTGAGTGTCCTATCACAACAAAGTTGCAGACTGCTCAAACATGCAGCAAAAGAGGCAGGTCTTCGCAGCTCCGGGTCCAGCAGTCTTAGATTCCCTGGGCACACGCCAGAGAAGTAATAGGTGTTAGTTTGTGTGCCAGCCCCCACTGCTAAATTGAAAACTTCATCTGATTGGTCGTTTCCGTGTGAGAGAATCTGTGTGTCTAAACTAGTCGGGACAGAAACCTCGTTAACTTCAGACGAAGCGTCGATTAATCTGTAATTCCGTACGGCACTGTGAGTTTGACATGCATACTCGGCTAAACTAATGATTTCTTGGTTGACAGTAATTAAATTCTCATGAGGGACTATTACTATACGGTGACCTTTCATCGTCGGGAAGCCGATTAACAAATGCCCAGGAATGGAAATTCCGTCCGCAGCATAGGTCAAACAATCTATGTATGTATTCCCCAATTTAAACTTAAGCTGTATGGCACCTGTAACGTTAACGCCTGGACCGTCTATACCTGTAATGCGAGGCAGTTAAACGTCTGTTCAAGAGTAGGAATCCATTGCTAAATTATTTAAAACATGAGAATCAATGACATTAACTTCAGCACCAGTGTCTAAAACGACTAAAATGTTAGTCTGATCCACTTGACCCACACAATGGGTTCCTGTTCTCCCTCGCGCCTGGAGAAAGGTGTTAAAGCTCTGTGACAAAGACAACAGTTATGGATCACAGGTACTGGAAACTGAGATGGTATCGTTGTTTAAGTGGTTACTTGAGGAGGCAAACTGAAGGTTTCTCGTTATGGACGAACAACTGTGTTAGGTGTCACCTGTGACTGTAGGAGCTTTTGAATCTTTCTGCACTCAAGTGTATCATGTGTCCGGACTTTGTGGATGCAGAGGTACTTGTTCCCTGGTGCCGGAGCTGACTGACTCTTCCTAGGTTGTGACTGAGGTTATGAACCCGTACCCTGCGTAGAAGGTATAATAGGCTTGTAACCCGTAGCAGGAGCACTTCCGTCAGGAGCCGCTGAAACACTGTGGTGATGATAATTAATACTTGGACATTTTGGTTTAATGTGACCTGGGATTCCACAAAAATTACAAACTACTGGTACATTTTTCTTAGGTCTTGGTTTGTGGGTACCTGTGGATGGCTCATTGATGTCCTTAGGTTTATTTGTTACTCTACAAACCAAAACGTCCGTAGAAAACCCTCCCTTATGATTAATAAGTTCCTGAAACTCTATTAATGTAATATCAGGAGTTGTAATAGATTCAGACACCTTACGCCTAACCTGTGTAGGAACACTGCATAAAATTATACTAAATTGTAAAAATTGACAATGGACTCAGCGCTCGTACCAGGGTTACCCCCGTTAACTGAAGGTAGGTCTAGCTATGTAGACTTCGTGAGTGAGTTAAGTAAGTTTTGCCTTGTGCGATCAACACTCACTCAAAACAGCGAGGGATTTTCAACAGAGTTCCGTTCCATTCTCAAATAATCGTGTAACGTTGAAAAAAAAACCTGTTTGGCTTTCATTAGAACACGCTGACCTCCAAGCTTTTTTATAATCTGCCCAGAGATCTTACTCATCTCCCCATATTCTGCAATATACCATGCCTCCGACTGAGGGTCCTTATGATCAATCAAATTGTGGGCACAGTTAATGATCTGAAGGTCTGTTGGGTCCGTACCTGAACACTTAAACCCAGCATATTCTACTCTGTTGGCAAAACAAGCCTCAATCTCTCGTAATTCCCCTGAAAAATATGGGTACTTGAGGTCGAGATTGGTATACTGAATGTGTGGTTTACCCTCTGGTTGGGTGGAGGGGTGTTTGGATGAGACATGTTTAAACTGGCTCTTCTAATCACTTTCCTAACCCTTTTGAACACTGAGGTAATAGGAGCACTAGATGATCTATGTCTTAAATTATAACCATGGAGCATAGAGAGAGCGTTGGTTACATATAAAATATAACATATGTCTGTAAATTGTCCAAATTGCCAGAATAGGATTCCTCTAAAATACTGCTTAGGTAAGTCGTGAACTCAACACTTTTCTGGTGAACTAACAATGAGTACAATTAGTGTATAAACAACTTAACCTGGATAGAAGCCTTGACAGTTGTGTGAACTGTGGAGGTGAGTGGCGGGCCAGTGAGATGGCTAGCGGAGGAGGTTGTGTAGCTGCTCTCCAGCTGTTTCAAGGCCGCGTGTGTGTTGCTCCCCCGGTGATCAGTGCATATGCCATAATAGATGCGTCGTGGAGAAAAACGTAATTCTTTTCCCTTGGTGTCGACGAATGTCATGAATCAGGCTCTATGAGAAAGGTGATTCTTGACGTAAACGACGAATCTTGACGTTGTTTAATGACGTGTTCATACGTCAGTCACTATGTCACTGATGACGTAATGGAATTTTCCCGCTGTAATGGAAGTTTGGAACTTTACGCTTGGCTTCACTGATGTTGATCACTGTATTGAGACACTTAAATGACGATAACTTTTACTCAGGAACTCAGTCGTGATAAATCAGGCAGAAGCTGTCTGGAGCTTGTAGACCCGGTGTAAGCATAGACGTTAACGCTTGTAGACGTAGGTAGAAGCCGTAACTTGTAGTAAGTCGTAGACAATGTAACTCTCTTTAGACTACAAATGAATCCCGTAACACTACCACCACCTATTTACCTGTCATTGTAAGGCCAGTGAGGAGTGGGACTTGCCAGAAGACCGTCCCACTTAAATTAATTTGCTTGCAGTTATTTAGAGTCCCGTTGTTATCAGCAAGATGACTGAGACTGTCAATAATTGTTGTCTACCTTGGTTTCACTTCTTCCATAAAAGTGGGAAAATTATACACAACACTGGTGTGTATGTACAGTGAAGATAATTACAAATCTTCTGTACAACTGTACAGAGAATTAGGCTGGCCCCGTTATCTCGTACATAAGAACATAAGAAAATAAGGAGTCTGCAATAGGCCGGTTGGCCTGTGCATGGCAGCTCCTGTCGAGAGTTACTACCACTCTCTATCATCCATGAATCTATCTAGCCTCCTTTTGAAACTTTCCAGAGTTCCAGCACTTACTACAAAGTGGTTAAGCTTGTTCCACTCGTCCACCACCCTATTTGTGAACCAGTTTCTTCCTCTCTCCCTCCTAAACCTAAACTTATCCAACTTAAATCCGTTGCTCCGAGTCCTATCCTGCTCGGATATTATAAGAACTTTATCTATATCCCCTTTATTGATTCCTTTCACCCACTTAAATACTTCTAACTTATCTCCCCGCACTCTTCGTATTTCTAGGGAATGCAAGTTAAGTTTCATTAACCTATCCTGATATGGAAGGTTTCTAAGTCCCGGAATCATTTTCCTCAATCTTCGCTGCACCGACTCTCGTGAATTGATATCCATTCTATAATAAGGGCACCAAAACTGAACCGCATAATCGAGGTGCGGCCTGACTAGCGCACGATATAGTTGCAATAAGACCTCTGCACTCTTATTACTTACACTTCTAGATATAAAACCCAATACTCTGTTTGCCTAATTTCGAACATTAACGCACTGTTTTCTAGGCCGTAGGTCCGGGCTTACAAGTAGCCCTAGGTCTCTTTCACAAGTCAACCTCTCTAGGTTAATGTTGTTAAGGCTGTATACATTGTCAGTATTTGTTCTTCCAATATTAAGTACGCTGCACTTGCTGGTGTTGAATTTCATTTGCCATTTTTCAGACCACCCCTGCAGTTTATTTAGATCCTCCTGTAATGCATTTGCATCCTGCCCTGAATTAATCTGCCGCCCTATTTTGGTGTCATCCGCAAACTTGCTTATGTCACTGCTGATCCCAGTACCTAGATCGTTTATGTAGATTATGAACAAAAGTGGGCCTAGTACTGACCCCTGGGGAACCCCACTGGTTACACGGCCCCACTCAGATTTAACACCATCTACGCTGACCCTCTGCGTTCTATCGGTGAGCCATGATTTTATCCAATTTAAAACTTTCCCCTCGATACCATGAGCCTTAATTTTTCTCAAAAGCCTCTGATGCGGTACTCTGTCAAATGCTTTGCTAAAGTCTAAGTAAATAACATCATAATTTTCGTCATTATCTACTACCTCGAAGACTTTCCTAAAAAACGTCAGCAGATATGTTAGACAAGATTTTCCCTTTGTAAACCCATGTTGCGAGTCATAGATTAATTTGTTTTTCTCTAGATGCGATCAGATGTTATCTGCTATAATTGATTCAAGAAATTTCCCCACTACTGACGTCAAACTGATCGGCCGGTAATTTGACGCTGATGCTCTGTCTCCCTCTTTGAATATGGGTACTACATTTGCCTGTTTCCACAAGTCTGGCACAACTCCGGTGTCTAATGATATTGTAAATAAATTTACGAGGGGTCAGCGAATCAGTTCCCTACACTCTTTCAAGACTCGAGGGAAAATTTCATCCGGCCCTGGGGATTTTTTTTCTTTAGTTTATTTATCTTCTTACGAACATCCTCTTTTCTGATAGTGATATTCTTTAATTTCTCTTCTTCCTTTCCCTTAAATATCAGTTTCACCTCTGGAATTTCATCACAAATTTCTTCTGTGAAACTGATAAGAAGTAGCTGTTCAATGCTTTGCTTATTTCTTCACTGTCATTTATCACTTCTCCCCTCCCTGACTTAAAAGACCCAACTTTGCCCTTGACCTTTGTCCTATATACCTGGAAAAATCCCTTGGGATTCGCCTTGGATTCTCTTGCTATTTTGATTTCATAGTCTCTCTTTGCTTTCCTTACATTTTTCTTAACATTCCTAGATAGTGCATTATACTTATTTCTGAGCTGCTCCTCCCCTCCCACTAATTTCATATAAGAACATAAGAACATAAGAAAGTGGGATACTGCAGGAGGCCGACTGGCCCATACAGGGCAGATCCCTTTCACACCCATCCCAGCACTTCCATGTGCCTATCCAACTTCGTCTTGAAGCTCCCTAGCGTCCCCGATCCTACTATAGCACTCGGTAGCCTATTCCACATATCCACAACTCTATTACCAAACCAGTGCTTGCCTATATCCTTTCTGAATCGGAATTTATCTAATTTAAAGCCATTTGTTCTAGTTATTTCGTTATTACTGAGCTTCAGAACATCTTCCATTTTACCCTTGTTAATCCCACTTACCCACTTGTACACCTCTATCATATCTCCCCTAACTCTACGCCTCTCTAATGAATGTAAGCCTAAGCTTTTCAGTCTTTCTTCATATGGAAGGTTTCTAATATTATGGATCATTTTTGTCATTCTTCTTGTACTTCTCCAAAGAATCTATGTCCATTCTATAATAAGGACACCAGAACTGAACCGCATAATCCATGTGTGGCCTCACTAATGCTAGGTAAAGTTTCAAGATAACGTCAGCAGTTCTGTTACTCACAGACCTAGATATGAACCCAAGAATCCTGTTTGCCTTGTTGCGAACGCTAATACATTGTTTTCTAGGTTTCAAGTCGTTGCTAACAAATACACCTAGATCTTTTTCACAAACTGAGTTTTCTATTTCCGTGTTACCTAGTTTATACTTAACGTTTGTATTCGTCTTCCCTATCTGTAGTACCTTGCATTTATCAGTATTAAAATTCATTTGCCAGTCTACTGACCACTCATGTAAGGTATCTAGATCTCTTTGAAGGTGTTCAAAGTCACTGTCTGAATTTATCACTCTCCCATTTTGGTATCATCTGCAAATTTACTAATCCTACTAGTTATGCCTAAATCAAGATCATTAATGAATATAACAAACAGCAGAGGGCCTAATACAGATCCCTGGGGAACTCCGCTTTTGACCGCACCCCAGTGACTTTAATCCATTTATGCTGACTCTTTGTTTCCTACCAGTTAACCATGACCTAATCCATTTTAATACTGATCCACCTATTCCATGTGCTTCTACCTTCCTTATCAATCTCTCATGAGGGACTCTATCGAATGCTTTACTGAAATCTAAATAAATTATATCATATGACTTATCATTATCTACCGCTTCATATACTTCTGAGAAAAAGCTACAAATTTGTGAGACAAGAACGTCCCTGGGTGAACCCGTGCTGAGAAGAATGAATTAAGTTGAATGTTTCAAGGTGGCTTCTGATTTTGTAGCAATAATTGACTCTAGCAACTTGCCTATGATTGACTTGAGACTAATGGGACGGTAATTTGATGCTATTGATTTATCACCCTTTTTGAAAATCGGAACTACATTTGCAAGTTTCCAAGCTTCTGGCACTAGGCCCGATTCTAATGACTTATTAAATAAAACTGCTAATGGATTACTCAACTCATCTCTACATTCTTTTAATATTCTAGCATATACCTCGTCTGGACCAGGCGATTTATGAGGCTTTAGTTTGTTAATTACTTTAAGCACATCGTTACTAGTAATATTGATATTCATCAACATATTTTCTATACTGTCGTTATATACCTTATGAACTTCTGGAAACTGTGCTAGGTTTTCATTTGTGAATACGGAGCGAAAATGACTATTTAACGTACAACACATTTCTAACTCATCATCAGTCATTTCTCCTGTCGTAGTTTTAAGGGGACCTATTGTATCTCTAACTTTTGATTTATACAGTTGATAAAAAGCTTTGGGGTTATTTTTCGATTCGTTTGCTACCTTGATTTCATAATTCTCTTTGCTTTCCCAATTTCTGTTTACCTGGTGTCTTGTTAGGTCTCGATAGTAACCAAGTAAGTGATTTTCGCCTTTCTAACTTTTCTATATACTCCTTTCTTTTTCCCTAGAAGATCTAAGTGTCTATTATTCATCCATTTTGGTTGGTTCCGTATCGATCTGAATTTTCTTTTAGGGATGTGTTTATTTTGGGCATTATTGATTGTCGCAATAAATTGTTCATAAGTAGCTGCTAAATTAAATTCGGGGTTATCCTGTCCTAAGTTGACAGTTTCCGGAGGTGTGGGGGGGATTAATCTTTTGACCATAGGGTCATCCCTTAGGTCTCTCCTTAAGCTACCGTAATTAGCCTTCCTAAAATCCGGGATCAAGGCCGAATTTTCCCTCTTCCTGCCATCCCATATTATGTTAAAATATATGGCTTTATGATCACTGTTTCCTAGTTCGTCTCCAATCCCAACATCTTTTACTAGATTTTCATTATTACTGAGAACTAAATCGAGGATATTATTTCCTCTAGTGGGCGAGTTTATGAATTGATATAAAAACTATCTTGTACTACTTCTAGAAAATCTTCAGATTCATTATCGCTAAGTTGATTTTTCCAATCTATGCCTGAAAAGTTGAAATCGCCTAGAATACATACATTGTTTCTATCAGATGCCTTCTTTATTTCCTCCCATAGCAATTTACCATCGTTCCTACTCAAATTAGGTGGTCTATATATAACACCAATGACTACGGATTCACTGCCCTCACCAATCTCTACCCAAATACTTTCATTGTCGCTATTTGTTTTAATGTTTGATTTATTGCAGCTTTTTAATGACACCCTGATATACACTGCTACACCGCCACCTCTCCTTCCTACTCTGTCAAATTTAAATAGGTTATATCCTGGAATATGAAATTCTGCTAAAAAATGCTTGCTGTTTGAATTTATCCATGTTTCCGTTATTGCAATTATATCTATGTTCTCTTTACTAACAATGGCCCT